TCACGAGGGTTAGCACGTAATGGTGGCACAAATGTTCTCACAGTCAACATGAAAAGTTGGAGCAATGACGAATACAACTAGACCAAGGATCAATAGTGATATGCAAGCAAATATTTCGGTCTCCAACGAAATTGGGAGGACTGGTGTGCAGCAAACATATATTCGTATGATGATGATAATCAACAGTAGATAATAAATGTTGCAACATGGCTGCAGTCAATAATCAATCAATGGTTGAAAGATACATTGATCCGCTATAAGCAAAGATGATAGATATGTAGAGAATGTCGACTCCTACGAGTCCTCGTAGAAGATCATGTCGTACACCCGATGTGATGATCACAAACAAATTTCAAAAGACCACAACAAATGCAAGAACCTACGAGTAAAGCAGGAGATTCGTTAGTGCACTACAATCCCCCTGTAGAAAATAACAAGTAATGCATGACAGTCTACTTATACAAAGCAGCAAACAACTGATCCAGAAGCTGCTACGCCACGCCACCGGATCTGCAACATTCGTACAAGCAGACATAAGGCGTCTACAAATACTTTCAAAGTACCCCTGCACGTGCACTATAAATTGTATACACATAGGCACACTAAAAGGGGTAAATGTAATCAAATACCCGCATGGGCCCCGGCGAGCATGTTGTAGAAATACATGTGACGTCTAGGGATGCTGCGCGGGTTATTAAACTTGAACCCGATCCTTCTAAATAGATGAAAGGAGTTGACAGGGTTCAATTATAAAATGCCACCATGGGCCCCAGCGAGCGTGTTATTGGTACACACGTGACGTCTAGGGATGCTGCACGGGCTGACAAGTGAATTCTTGTTCGAAGTTTGAACCCGATCCTCCTATACGGATCAATAGGGGTCGACAAGGTTCGAACTCTCAAACAAGTACACGGTTGTGGTGACCGGTGTATTTGTTTTAATACATTCATATTAGATCTTCAAGGCCTATAACAATTAGAATTCACTAATAAGGGCATAAAACATACGAAATCCGATCCTCTATCAATGATACTAGTGATATTACCCCGAACACCCCGATGATGACCGTGTTGAATGCAGATGTCAACCGGAGGGGTTCCCAAATATTTTCAAATGTCTTCCAAATATCCAAAGCCCATTTCATTTCATAAAATCCAAAACTCCACAAAAATTCCAAAGATCATCTAGAATCCAGAAAATTCCAAAAATATTTAAAGATGGAAAAATAAATCCATCAACACTTAAAGCAAAATCCATCCACCCTCTGCAACAGTTTGTCGGGGCGGACAAATTAAAGTCCACTTCAGCTCACAAAGAGCCAAATGTCTAGTCGAAAATATCACTAGTATCTATTCTCAAAATAGTTTCCTGCCAGTAATGACGTGGTACGTGTCCTCTAACCGGCGGTTCGCCGCCAAATGGCACCGCAGGATAAACGGTTATGACCCGGGGCCCTCTGAGCCGAGTGGTTTTGCCGCCAAATGGCACCACAAAATACCGGTTATGGCCATCGTCGTCACGTTTCTTATTGGCATCAAATCCTTGAAATATGAATCAATAGGATATGATCGATAGGGCACAAAGCCCTCTGTTAGCTAAGGTGGATTCAAATTTATCCCCTTAGACAAACATCCAACCCAGGTCTACAAGGTTCCCTTGGACGAAGCAACCCATGGCTGCCGACAAGGATCCTTCTGTCAGGTTGGGTCGACTACCTCCTCTGACTAAGTAGACCAGGGACCACGATGGCCCGGGACGACGAAACCATGGGATCTTGATCGGGTCTATCATTCATTCCCCCACCATCCGCTTTAAGTGCTAGGTGGTGAAAATTTCTATTTTAAATATCAAACCCTTCCAAATTCAAACCCAATTTCCAAATCTAACACATGCTGCTACTATATGTCAGATAACACGTATCTCTACGTATCTGATTGACGACTAGCCTTAATCGAAAGTTCTCTCTCGTGATCGGGAGGGGTAATTAACTATAGAGGCATGCGCCTATAGGAAACCAGAACTCATATCATAAAGTCCTCACAAAATGAGGACGAAATCTCTGGGTAGTGTCTTATATACAAACCTTTCTGCCTTCCAAAATTTACCTCGGAACTTATATCAGTCAAAACTCCCTCGCCGAATTAAAAAGAAATCGCACGACGGGGAGGCCGGGGCCGAATTTTCGGAGCCCACACTCTATACCATGACAAGGAGATTGACCTGTCGATTCAAGGCATCAGCTACACAGTTGATACTATCCACTCGATGCTTCACAACAAAACTAAATTTCTATAGCAATACAACCCATCGGCTGCGATTTCGCTGCAAGTGCATAAATTACACTGGTTGATGATCATTAAACAATATGAACTCCTAATGGAGCAAGTAACGCTTCCATTATTTCAAGGTTTAGATGATTGCTCATAAGTTGAACATTACTACCAATGAAGGTAGCATCCGTCTCAACTTAAAAAGGTTTCTCAAATTTTGGGATAGTTAGAAATGGCGCCGAACTAGTTCCATCACATTAGAGAAGATGAGTGATTATTCTGGTCCCCAAACAAAGTGTTTAAGTTTCAAGCAATTGGTTAGTGGTGTTGCAATCATACTGAAGCTGTCATGAAATGTCTATAAAAATTGGGAAGCCAAGGAAAGCCACATGATTTGGCAATTTATAAAGGTGTGGGCCAAGATTGTATCACCTCAATCTTCTTGGGGTCTCCTTAAATATTAGGCCGGCCCGGGGGGGCTGAACATATTAAACCGGTCCCTCGTGGACCGGTTTTGGTTTACAAGAAGGGGAGGGGGGGAATAGATGGGTCCCTAAACCCTATATTCCCAGTACGGTGTGAAAAAAAGCAAAAAAGTAGGTATGCTTAACTAAGGTAAGGTAAGTGTGCATAAATGCAATTTAGAAAATATTAAAAACACTATGCAAATACTAAAAAAAGTATAAGGCCACAATAATAGCTCCCACCAACATAAAGGATAAAATAGAGAAAGGTGCCGATTCGATATTAGCCAATTAAAAAATATTTGTTTACCTTTTTCGAGTGGGGATATATCCCACTATGGTGTAACAAAAAGAAGAAAAATAATTATGCTCAACTAAGATAAGTGTGCTTAAATGCAATTAAACAAATATTAAGTATACTATACAAATACTAGACTAAGGATAAGGCCACAATAAAATAGCTCCAAGAAATATGAAGGGGGAACAGCGAAAGGTACCTTCTCACCATACAAAATGCTTTTTGCCAATACAAAAATTATTTTTGGGTGTAACAAAAAGCAGAAAAGTATGCTTAACTAAGGTAAGGTAAGTGTACGTAAGGGAGGGAGGGCTCTCTCTCTCTTCCCCCAAATCCACCACTCCCCCCCCCCCCCCAAAAAAAAAAAAAATTTAAAAAAAAAAACCAAAAAAAAAATTAAAGTTTAAACTCTTGATAAAATTTGATTATTTTCTTTTATAATTTTTTTCTTTATCCAATACTTGTTTCATTTATTAATACATTTACCAAAAAAAATATCAATAAAACCACAGTCAAACTTCATCTTTTTTATGAGCTGGTGTAACAAGTAATCCATTGCATCATCCAAAAGAAAGGCCCATATATAGGGAACATCATCTCATGATAAATAATATGCAAATTACATAATAGATAGCAAAATCAAATTCTAAAAAATCCGGCAACTATAGGATATGAAACACATTCTTTGTTCCAAAACATGCATGATAAATGGCCAAAAGTACAAGACTGCTAGCACCAATAGTGAAGATGAAAAGTAAGATCGACAGACCTTATCCACTGACCCAAGCTGCAAAAGTCCAAGAGGAAGCACGGGTAGAAGTAGAATTGTCTGCAGTAACAGCAAGTAAAGTCAACATACATGAGCGGGAAAGTGCTCTTGCAGATAAATTTTGGAGAACAGATAACCAGATTAATAATAATGCAGTCATCTTCCACTAGAAGAATGTCAAAATACCTTGATTCCTGCCGTAACCTGAAGTCCTAACTCTTCTGGATACTGCAAGCATATTAAATTCATACATGTTTAGATATAATCATAAAAGCGAGTAATATGATAGCTTCTAAAAACAGGAGACTTCTAGCTCACCTCTAAAAGTAGCTCAGAGTTCATCTCTCCAACACAAATCCACTGATGCCTCTCCATGGATGCCACCTTGCCAACAATCCTGCTAGAGTAACGTCTTCAATTTTCACGTTTTCATTGAAAAAAGAGTATCCTTAGATCTAAAGAGACTATTTGGAGGCATGTCAGCCTTGTTAGATTAACACAAATTTTGGGAATATGTTCGAAATTGAAATACCTATCTGAAGCCTACTCTATAGGTTTTCCTAAGTTCGTAATGTGTCCTTCAACAGACAAAATAGATGAAAATATTTCATCTAGTTCACTAAAACAGAGGACAACTGCACTAGTATGCGATCCAGGAGGTTCCTCAATGCAATTTGGGCTTGGCCAACAAGCTAGCCAAGATATATTGGCGCCCAAAATTAGTCTAACTTCAGGCTCAGCAATATCAAAGTGAAGAGCTAGACTATTAGTCAACCAAAAAAATTAATTGGGTCAATGGAGCATAAAAGGCTATACTGAAACTGCAAGATGGGTGTGTGCTCCGAAAAATTCCATAAGTGTGAGTTGTGTGTGTGATCCGGCCACTCTGCGCCATCCGTCTATTTTTCTTTTAAGTGTTTGTGTGACAATGACGGCAGAGAGTTTTAACGAGATTAGGTTCCGGGGGAATTTTCAGAAGGCAGATTGGGTTTTAGATAAGACACTACCCAGAGATTTCGTCATCATTTTGTGAGGACTTTTTAATCTGAGTTCTGGTTTCCTATAGGCGCAAGCCCCTATAATTAATTACCCCTCCTGACAACGAAAAAGAACTTTCGATTAAGGCTAGTCATCAAGAATGTCACATATGTTATGAACCTATCGTATAATAGCAATAGTTTTAGGGTTTGAGTCTTGGATTTGAATTTTAAAGTTTGGAATTTAGAGTTTATCACCATAAACTTAAAACTGGTGGTGGGAGGAATGAAGACGAGCCTGATCAAGATCCCATGGTTCCGTCGTCCCGGGCTGTCATGTTCCCTGGTCTACTTAGTCAGAGGAGGTAGTCGACCCAACCTGACAGAAGGCACCTTGTTGCCAGCCATGGGTTGCTTCGTCCAAGAATACCTTGTAGACCTGTGTTGATATTTGTCTAAGGGGATATATATGAATCCACCTTAGCTAACAGAAGGCTTTATGCCTATCGAATATACCGTATGATCCATCGCTCAAGGGTTTGACGCCTTTAGGGAACATACTGGCTTTGGCCATGATCGTAATATAATGGTGCCATTTTGCAGCAAAACCACCCGATCAGAGGGCACATGCCACGTCCCTGTTGGCAAGAGACTGTTTGAGGATGAATCAAAGTGATACACCCGACATGCATTTGCTCTTTGTGAGCTAAGGTTAATTTCAAATTTATCACCCCCGACAAACTGTTGCGGGAGGTGGATGATTTTTTAGTTTTGAGTTTTTTAGATGATTGATTTTATTTTAAGAATTTGGTCTGTTGTTTGATTTGAGATTTGACCCCTCCGGTTGAGATTTTCGATCAACACAGCCATCATCGGGGTGACTTTAAAGTCACTTGTATTTTAGTAGGATTTTGGGAGGCATTTTGTTATTCAAGTCGTGTCGGCTCCAGTCCTTTCGAGGATGATGAAACTTGAATATTTAACTGGCGCAGCATTTTCGAATCGTTAGATTTGAGATTTATATGCGACGATCGGAGCACATGCGGGTTGTAGTATTTGACCCTGCGCAGCATTCTCAGACATTTGTGTTTGCAGCTTTAAAATATTTGTCGGAGCGCATGCAGGGGGGGTAGCATTTCAATTTAAGAGATCACATTTAATACATAATGAGGCATTTTAAAATATTTAAATATGATCCATTGCGCAAGTGATTTCGTTTAGAAAATGGCCCTGGATTTCATTTAAGAACCTACGAATGCCTTCTGTCCGCTTGTACATATGTTGTGGATCTGATGGCGTAGAGAGGATTTGAAGTATTCATTGCATTAGATTTATACATATTTGTAGATATCACTAGTCTTATCGTCGATCGAAAATATGCATTTCAAAGTGTTTCCTCAATTGTTATTTAAGGACGGGTCATGTTCAATGTTGAAAGAGATCTATCAAGGTCCAAAGAACTCCCATACTATGGCTTTGTAGTCAAATTATACTCCCAAAAGAAGCTTTTGTTTCTTGCAAACAAGTTATAATTACAAATCTTTTGTCTTTAAGGATAGTTCAATGTGTATGATGGATTTGATCATTCAAGCCAAGTTCTTTATATTTTAGTTTAAATACAATTCCAAGTGGCTTATTGAAGTTCAAGTTCTTATAGTCATGTTGAGTGCAAGACATTGACGAAAATCTCTATTTGAATGTATCACTTATTAAGTCAATTTCAAATCAAATTAGATTTGAGTTCATTTGGAGTGTAGGTAAAACATTATTTGATCAAATTTTATTTAAAATTGATTTTAAATTTGAATTATATTCAAATCAATTTTAGATTTTGTCCAAGTGTTTACTGAAAATTTTAGTAGCCTCCCTGCGTCTCCTCCCCACCGAGGGAGAAATCCGGACGGCATCTACTGAATTTCTTCTTATCCAGACCTAAAGTCGACGATGTAGGGTCTTCAATTTTAAATCATCCCACCATGATCTAAGATCGACTGCATTGGGTCTTCGAATTTTGTTTCATCCTGCCCAGATCTAAGATCAATGACGCGGGGGCTTCAAAATTTTAAAACCATCTGCCCGGATTAAAAATCAACGGCGCAGGTCTTCAATTTCAAACCATCCCGGTCGGACCTAAGGTACGACAAACGGGGTTTTCGACACCTGTTGAAATACTCTCACCTCTCTCATATATATAATTACATATAATATATATAGAGAGAGGGATCGGGAAGAAGGGAGAGAGCCCGATCGGTTTGGATCGGGCTGAGTCCACGCACGGAGGCGGAGGCGTTGGGTTAGGGTCGGAGCAGGCCTCGTTGGAGACTACGCACGGTGTCAGCGGGTCCTTGGTCGGTGGGCTTCAAGCGGCTAGAAGTAGGCGTCGACGGGGGCTCGGTTCGTGGGCTAGGGCAGAGACGGAGAGGTGTCGGTTTGATTTGCTTCGGCTGGAGCAGGTGGAGGCTGGGGTCGGCCAAAGTCGGCTAGGGCGGAGGGCTCGCGGGATTGGCGTCAGAGCAAGAGGTAAGTCGCAAACCCTTTCTCTCCCTTGCGATTTTTGTGCGTGTGTTGGAACCGAATGAGAGAAGCGTTGTTTTTATGTCGTGAGTGGGGCGGTTACCTATTTTTGAACGAAAAGTTGCTTCGTTTTGGCGATAATCGTCGTGAGGTGGGACCGGGGGCGATTTTGTCGTGAGTTTGTCAGTGGGGAGCAGTTACAGTCAACAATGGGTTAGATCCCTAGATTCAACTCAAAAGGAGTTTGAATTTTAAATTCCCCAACTCCCTCCAAGATGCAAGGGCGGGTCACTACATGAAGGAGAAACGATCAACTTTTTACTGAATCATTCCAAGTCTAGATAGTGTTTGTTTATCTTTTTTTTTTAACTTTTGGACAACACAATGAATCAGGAAGCGACACTTCAGTCTTGAGCAATTATATGGAAGCCACGCGTCATAGTTATTATGAAACTGAATTAAAACATATTTAAAAACTAACATTTTTATCATTATTTTTAAATTTGAATAAAACACATGATGTTATTAGAATATAACTATTTCAAAAAAAATTTAACCATCACATCATGTATGTCATTTTTTTAATTTAAATTCAAATTGAAAGACAACTATTTTCATTATATAAAAAAAAATCAAGATATCATGGTTCAATTTTCATCAAAATGAACTTGAAAAATTGATGCATGTCAATTTTTCTATGACGTGTTCAACTAATTACATATAAATGTCTAAATATTTTGCTATTTTGTAATACATTTCACAGCATGTATTTTCTTTATTTTTGAATTAATTGCAAATCAAATTCACGTAATTTCATGTCAGTTAAATATAATAGAAATCCCATGTATTAATTTTTTAATCGCATCTTGATCAAACTTATCTTAGAATATCCTGAACCAATTTTCGTAATTTTATTAAATAGTACATTTCAAAAAATTTATCACTCTTAGAATTCACTGGAAGAGGGTTTATGTTCAAACTTCAAAGTAATAATGAGTTTCTAAGCAAGCAAGCATACCCTTCTCCAAGTAAGTATGAGAATCGTGTCATGTTGAAAACTGCCACTAAAATGGAACAGGCAGGAATATTTCCATTTTGACCGATAGCTTCACTGCCAAATGGATGATAGCTGTTGAATTCTTTGTATTGAGCATGTTCCATAGCAATGTCTAACTTTTTATCAATAGCATAAGAATCTTCGCATGTCAATAGCCTGAAAAGGAAAAAATAAACAATTAGAAGAGTTAAGGGTAATTGCTCAATTTTTGCATCTGCGTATGATACAAAGCAAACCAGCTTAAATAATAGCAAATACAAGATAAATAGATAACTTAAATCTTGTGTGAAACTCCAAGTAAGTTTAGGGGGAGCGGAGCAAGCCAAAGCACAGTTTTCTTCTACATCGTGCTTGCCCTAATACTCCACATGAGCAGTATTTACAGACTCCTAAGGTTTTTATAACCTATTCAACACCTAATAAAAATCTAATAGATCCAACTATTTAAAGTTACTATATCACCCATAACATTTATTTCTTAACAGTATATACAAGAATTAACTTGCACCATGGTTATTGTGGTTGTTGAATTTGAGCATGCAAGACATAAAGAGCTTTAGCTTTTAGCCAGTGCTAACCTAGTATGGCATTCCTAGGTCAAGTCTGCAGGTAATACATGACTAATGGTTATAAGAAATAAGATGCATCTGGAAAATTCTTAAAACTTGCTTCTTTTTAAAATTTTAACCATAGAGCAGCGATTATGGAACATATAATTTATAGCCAAACATTTAGATATAAGATAACACCTCTCTGTGGTTGACAGGAATCAATTTTAAAGAACCCAATGTTGGCTACTTGAAACAGTTCTGGCAAATGAAAAGAATACGTCCAATATGAAAAGACAAATTATTCATGACTTATACAGACAAATATATGGGATGAAGCAGCACGGGCATTAATCATAAGAGGCTAGATATGTGCATGAACCATACTGAACAATATGTACAGTGCATAAATATCTTAAATTTTTTTTTAAAATGTTGCATGAGAAGTAGGTTTCATTTGGCAGAGCATTTCTTTTTATTTGCTTTTCATGAACTGGCTTTTCTAAACACTACAAGTGCTAATATTTTGGGTGCTATGCATGTAAATCCCTCTAAAATAAATAAACAAACAAATGAGAAAGATTTAGGGAACTAATAGTGAATAAAGGAAGAATGCTCGGTCAGGGTGGCTGCTAGGGCATTATGTAAGGTTTAATTCTATTCTAATTTTGCCCCTTTGAATCGCTTCGATAAAGCATTCTCATCAATATAATTGTTATAACCAAACCATGGACCGGTTCGATCAAGGTTTCTCTCGTGAACAACTGATCTCACAAGCCAAACTACATATTTCCTTCGCTTAGATCACAACCAAGCAGCACGCAGCCTTGTGGTTGATTTAGACGCTTCTCTCTCTCTCCCCAACCCCGTGAATCACAATATTTTTTTCTCCTTGTGGTTGATTCTCCCGCTCACAGCCTTCCTCTCACCATTTAAGGCGAAAGAAGCCTAGGGCATCATTCCAACCCTTCATCCTCTATTGCAACAGCTGTTGAAATGCTTCCTTCTCCTCCCTATTTGTTTCTTTCTTGCAACAGCAGCTATCGGAGAACATTTCTCAATCTCTTCTCCTTCTATAGTGAGTTTTTCCCTCTTCTTCTCTTTTTCCTTCTCTCTTTCTTCTTCTTATGTTTCTAATCTCCTACTTAAAAGTTATTTCAATTCTAATGTGATGCTAGATTTAATTTGTATTAGTTATGTATAGCCTTAAATTTCTCATAGGATGAGTTTTAACTTGCTTTAGGAGGAAGCCTTATTTAAGTTTGATGTTTGATTTGATCAAACTCTATATTATCTTTTAGATGTATTATTAATCTAAGATTGTTGGTGGGGTATCTTTTAATTTTGATCATCATAATGTGCCTTGTTAGGACATAGGGTAGATCGCATTAATTGATAATTGATTTGGTGTTTATGGTGTGACTAAGATTAATTAGGATATTCAAAATTATGCCTCAAAGTGCATGCTTAATATTATTTTGGCTTTACTTCTTGAAGGACTTTAGTTTGATGGAAGCGTGTAAGTTGCAACTGAATTTGAATTTCATGTTGTTCACTGTGAGTAATTATTATTTATTTTGGGATAAATGTAACATTATTTTTAAGGGGTGATACCTTCGTTATTTGTATAAAATTCTTAGATATTCTAGATTGTCAACTCTATGTTAATTTTTTATTTATTTATGCATAACTGCAGTAGATCTTATTTAGATTCATGATGATCTTAGCAAATATAGAGGTAGTGTTACCATGATTAATTATTGCATAGCTCTCATTCATTTAAATCATATGACAACAAATTTTATTCATGCACGTTATCCCTGTTAAATGCAATTACTAGTATTTTTTCAAATCATATTGCTTATGAAATTCCTAAATTGCCATAGTAATTGTACAATGCACATGAAAATTTGCTTATTAAAAATAGAAAATTATATGCATGTGTGCAATGATATGTAGGTTGGTATAATCTTATTAGATATTGGCTAGCCAAGCCGATGGGCCCACAGAGTGACGACTCAATAGAAAATAGTTAAATTTCTTTGGGTTGGTGTTTTACCTTCCCGATAATAGGTATTTAACAAACCGACTATAGTTATATATGTATAAATGTATAAATACTTAACATGAATAAAAAAAATGTATAAATACAAAACATGACATGAATTGAAAATAATGAATGACTAATTAGTCAGTTTTAGGTACAATGATACCTAATGTGATTGCATTTATAAGAATTGAAAGTATTTGACATTAGTAGTACTTTGGCATATACACTTGAGCACTAGCATACTGGAATCTATTGTATGAATCATGGCATGTGACATTATTATAGTGACACGTTGACTTTTTACTTCTACCTATTGATTAGTCATGCCTCGTTTTCTTTGTCATTTATGTTTTAATAGATAAGACTTATTTGTTGGGTTTAATTTTTCAAACTCACTCATTATCTCTTAATAGCAAGTCTTAACAATGTGTTTAGCGGATCGTCACGTCAGGAGCAGATTTATCAGTAGTAGATTATATTTGGTATTTTATATTTTATATTAGATTATTATGCATTCGATTTTGTGGGTTAGGTAGTTTCATGTTGTTATTTCTTTCATACTCGTTTTGCTTATATTAGTCATATTACTTTGATATATTGTTATTTGAATTTATATTAATGAAATGAATATTTGATTTCATTTTCATTGTTTACTCTGATATATTATTATATTATTGGTTTATGCATTTTTCTTCTTGTGAGAACAAAAAAGGTCCTTTAATTCATTCATCGCATCCTGTGTTGCCGGATATACCGCCTTCCAGACCCGGGATGTGACAATAACAAGTACGGAAACCATATTGCAAATTATAAAGCAATAGATTGCAATATAAAAAAACAGGCTGTTGGATCTACTTTTCACCAGCTTTACCACAATGTATGCGATGCATTTACATAGCAATGCAAGGTCAAAAAAATGCACATCACTTAGCTTCTCTTAAAAAACAGAGGAAAAAAAAGGCAACCGAAACTTACATGTGGTTCTCATCTCGAAACTTCCAAAGAATAGCATATTTCCACATAGAGCGGTGGCAAAGATTCCTAAGCAACTGATTCAACGCAGTGGCAGACCCCATAAGCCCTTAGGCCTTAGTAACTATATTCCAAAGTCAAAAGTATTATAAGTTCAAGAAACAAGACCAACCACCCTGCCTCACTAGCTCGCTCGGTAGGAACCTCGGCCTGCTTGTTCCCTACGCAAACCAGTTCTTCGTTCAATAGGTGGTTCTTCTAGTCCAAGCAGCAGAAAGTCCATCACGTCTATTTTTGCTTCTAGTATTAAATTGCCCTCTGATATTAGATTCAACAAGTAATCAGTTCACATTTAGTGCAAAGAAAGATGAAGAAAAATCTCACCAAGTAAATAATACGGCCTCTTAGAGCCAGAAGCTGTTTATATTGATCAAAACATCTATTAAAATTCAGCACTTTTTACCCAAGCAATAAATAATACCTTCAGATGTATCTGATTTTAAATCAGTTCTTCGAGCGGCAACATCCTTTGAGCAAGGGATTTACCAGGAAAAAAACACTCACTTTCCAGGATGAAGGAAGCAAGTGAATAATCCAAAAACTGCTTATAGAATTTTACAAAAATCTCCCTCTTTAATCTTCGCCTGCAAGGACATTCATTTAAAGGAAACCTAAGTTCCTAGCCTCATCAAAGATCCAAAAAAAAAAAAACACAAAGCATGTAACCGGTTACTACCTCTTCGAACTAGCAGTTAGCTCGGGCTTAACTAATAAAAAGATCAAACGAATAAATAAAAGGAATTGAACGCGGGAGGGATTATTAGAATGATCCACGAAATCCGCAGAAAGAAAAAAAAAAACTTGGAGGATTAGCTTGACAAACAGTCAAACAGATCAGTTCCGACACTTACAAAAAGCATAATACATCTCAAAGAAGAAAAGATGTGCGCTATCTCAACGACGCGGAAGAAGACGCTCACACTGTTCCTTTTTCTTCTCCACCACCGCCCTCCACTCAGAAAATACGAGCTCCCCCAACACAAAATGCCGTCCTTTTTTCTTCTTTCCCCTCTCAGGCTTCGAAACCTGAAATTAATAAACGGCGTGGGAACCTATACGTACGATTACTTTGGTTCCCAATGAGCCGTCAAAGTTTCATAGCTTTGGGGTTGCGGGAAGTTTTTGACAATCCATAAAAAAAATAAATAAATAAATTTTATGTATATGATACATATGAGTTTATTTTAATTTACAGGACTAATTAAAGTTTTGATAAGCTACCCATACGGAAATTTATTATGCTAGAAGCGACCCAAATTAAAATTTACGCATGATTTTATAAATTTTAGGATCATTTAATTCTAAAGTTTCATAATAAATGATTCTAATTTTTAAAAGTTTACGATCATTCTATCATCTGATCACCCTCATGTGACTATGCTCTTTAATAACTCAAATGCTTAACTATTGAGATATTTATTCTTCACTTTGATCTAATGACCTCACAATTTTGTCATGTAAATATAACTTTCTAAGAGGTCATCCTTCCTATGAGTGCTCTTATACAAACAGGCTTAACTTCGGAGTTTCTACTAAAATCCTAACTATTACACTAAAAGACGCCACAATATTTGATTTTAGTCTTTTTTTTAAATAGTTTCACATTCTTCTCTTGTCAGTTTTCTTAACCCAAAATTATCCATGAGGTTCATATGATTCTAAGATAGAGTTCTCATCTTCCGGATAATGTATTGTTTTAATACCATTTTTCATACCTAAATTCTTAATAATCAATATATTATCTGCTTTGATCCTTTGTAATAGCTCAAACTCACAATCATCAAAATATTACCTGTCTTAGCTTAATAGCCATAGGGTTTTGTCCTCTTTGTATTACTTCCCAAAAATTAAGGTTTTCTAATATAACAACCACAAGACCCTCATGCATGTGCATTACCTTTATAAATATACATGTTATATATATACATGTTATATATATTAGATTGAAAATCTTTGCATGCATAAAAATTCAAGTGAGAGCACTAAGTCGTTCTGTCTTTATAGATGTATTCTAGCGTTGTAGGCATAGCGAAGCTGATCCCACTATTTTATTGTGAAATTTTGGGGAATCCTACAATGTTGGGTGATGAAAAAAATTTAATATATATTTCCACTATTGTATTTTAATACCCTAAAACTCATTCCCTCCCCATTTGCATATTTTGGTTAGTGAGAAGAGGGGTGGAAGGGAGAGCGGAGGAGAGAGGAGAGAGAAAATGAGAAGTTCATACTGGTATTTTCATTACTCTAGTAATGAAAATTATTCCAATCACTATATGTGATCTTAATTATATCCTTATTTTTTATTATCTTGACTTTTAATCTATTGTTCTCTCTCTTAAAATTAATAAAAACTATGCATCTCATAATCTAGTCAACTTTCTCATGATATGTTATAAATATGATTACTCTACACATTTTAATATGATCATCCTGCATTTTCATCAGTTGGGTGAAAAATATCATATTTCATGTATTTTAGTGAGTATGTAGATTTTAACATAAATTGTTATCGTTGAGAAAATCTTTTAAATGTTAACTAGAATATTTCAAATGAATATTATGGATAGTTAATTTCTATGCATAATATGATCCTCATGAACCTTGTTGTAAGATTGTGCTAGTGACTTGCAAATGTAATCTCAATACTACATACATAACATGAGATATGTGTAATGATTAGAGTTAATGTGTTTAATATGAAACATAATATATGATGTGATGTGTGTAAACAAGAAATGTTAGTTCAATATAATTCAAGTTGGTAGAGATACAACCCCAAGATCTAATTGTAAGAGAATTATCTATTTACTTCTCGATTAATATACTAGAGCCAATAATCTCATTTCAATAAATATAAATCTACAGAAGCTATCACTAAATTTTTTTCTTCAATTTGTAATTTCATTCTTTTCCTAAAATTCAAATACAATTGTCAGGAGGTCAATCAACCTCAATAAATCGGTTTATCAATCTAAACTCTTGACTATAAAAGAATAAACTAATATATAAAATAAAAGGAAACCTAGGAAAGTCTGATCTATTTCACTCCACTAGATCCTGTCCCATTATTGAAAAAAATGCAAAAATCATGGAGTAAGCTAACAGCTCAGTAGGTTACTAAAACCTATAACTGCAATCAATGCAAGGTAGTGGAAATAGTATACATATAATCTTTCAATCAATATCAGTATAAATGTATAACTGTAAATGCATATAGCACTCAATGTAAACGTTATTATATTATATCAGCAACAAAATTGGTGCAACTGTATTCTTATGAGTAGTGACTAGCAACCATGTAAAGAACCAAAATGTTATATCATTCCTATGCATATTAGTTACAAAATAGTTTATGTATCGCTTTATGAAAAAAATACATTTTCTTTTATCATATGCATGTCGTATAATATATATTTTATGCATATATATTATATTCTTATCAAATGCATATTTCCATGTATTAGTCATATCAATCATATCAGTGTTATATGTAATATCATATGTGTATGCAGGTCTTATAACATCAATATTATATGTAATACACGTCATATATTTCATGTGAATCATATGCCCTTATATCGATCTTCTCAGTCATATCATGTACATGTATCAATCATGTATGTTAGTATCATATACATATGTAAGCAATGTAAGCAATATACTATATTTGGCTAACTATTGTATTTTTTGGTACTCAATTCTATAAGTCAACCCTACAAGAACGACTCTCAATCATATCAGTCATACTGTTAGGAATCTATCTTATATCACAAATCATAAGTCCTTCGTTAGGTGGATTTCATATAAGAAGTAGTCACTTCATGTTTGTCGGTATAGCATATCAGTTAATCCTCATATACCTCCCTTTTCATATCGCTTAGGATTTACACCACAAATTTCCTTGAAAAGAATGCTTGTCAATCAGAATCAATCAATCATTTCCAACCAATCTTTTTTTATTTTTCATGCATTTTATATCACATAAAATATAGTAGCCAACATCACATATAATCAATGAAATTTTCAAAACACTTATGAGTATACATATAGTATGTTAAAAATGTACATCACACTAAGAAAATAATAAACATATGCATATCGTGTATTATATATCTTAATGTAGTACATAGACTCTTGATCAGTTTATATTCAACATTATATTATGCATTTCAATTAAGAATATAATATAAGCAAAACCACTTAGTGAAATTTTATTATTAATCATTAAAATACTCAGTATGACAATATCTATTAAATATCAAGAGTTACATGGTAGAAAAATACTAGAACGAGAGATATTGAATTTAAATCAATCTTAGGAGAGATAAAATTCAAAAAATACAAAATTATTGAGAACATAAATAATATCCGAATTACTTACCACAATCAGAACACTTTTCTCAATTGAAGTGGCAGACGAAAATGACCTAAAACAAACTTTCTCTCTGCTCTCTCACACTATTCCTCTTCTCCTTTCGTCCCCTGTCAAGGCATGCAAATAAGGGAGCGATGCTAAGGGTTAGGGCAAAATGAAATTGATTTATATAATTTAATATTTAAAAAGCACTAACTTAACCTAACGCCACGACGCTCAACTCCCTAGCGCCGTTGTACTCCTGATGAAGATACTCGGTGCTACGACGGAGGCGTTCGGTGCCACAATGCACACTTCAATTCCCCATTTTCTCAAGAGCTCAAAGCCAATGCTCCGCCAATCCCGATGATGTGACTCCCACAGAGCAAAATCTAATAATTGAAAAGTTAGGCTATTATAATAAGTTAATGTACAAGAGTGGAGATTGATATGCTTTCTTAATAGTAGGTTAGTAATGTTAACCCATCCATGATATATGGAGATATTATGGAATGCCTTAATATGTAAACAAGTGCCGACAAGCTGCGATGATGACTCTTGTGTATGATGTTGTCACAAACCAACTCAATATGACCCACAATCAGAACATGTCATATCGTGTTGAGTTGTGATAGGCCGAGCCAAGATCAAAGTTTTGAGGATTTTTTTATATTTCTTTTTTGAATTAAATTAGATCACCAAACTTCTAATTACCTTCCATTAAGTAGAAGAAAGTACTCATCCACATATTTTTATTCTTTTCATTTATCATCAAAATGTATATACGTTAATTATTAACTACAGTACATAGCTACAAACTAGAATAGAACAAATAAATAAATATTGATTATACCAAAATAAAAAAAAAATGCATATACATACTTATAAATAAGACCCTGAATCCAGTGGCGGAGCCATAAATTTTATTCTGGGGGGGGGGGGGGGGGGGGAAAGGGGGGGGGGGGGGCGTAAATTAAACACTACATGAAAATCACCTATTACCGGTAAAATTTTCCGACGGTCTATTTTTCGTGGTTTTCCGACGATCAATTTTCTGGCGGTCAATTTTCTAACAATATGTCATCTCATCTGGAATTTTAGAATAAATTAATATTGTTCCGTTTGCTGTCTCATTACTGGAGAAAAGATGAGCTGTAAGATCAAAATTAAGAATGTAAATAACGTGGAGAGAGAGGACTTAAAGGGAAAACGAAAGCCGTGCTCTAGGTTGTGAGTTGCAAGAGAGGAGCAAAGTGGAAAACGAAGTAGACAATCGGGGTCGAGGGAAAGAAAGCCATTTAAGAGCAGTCTTTGTTTGGGAATGTAATATGATATTGTTGCAAGAGGAAATTTTTTTTTAAGAAAGTTATTGTGAAAATTAGTATGATTACTATTCCGAACAAAGTCTAAAGCATATTCTTGTATGTTAAATTACGGAATTGTTAGGTCTTTTTTTTTATAAAAACAATGCTAATTTTTTTATGTAAATTGCTTTAAAATGAGTGCAAAACATAAAAAAATCAATTAAAATGTATATTACACATATCTCAAATTAAATACAATAATTTTAATATCCATTTTGACAAAAAAAATTTATCAATAAATTATGTAACTATTTTCTTTATAAATATACTACACGTAGTAAAAATAGTGAATGAATAATTATTCATCAATATCTTATTTTTCTTATAAAAAATTTACTTTAGGCTTTATATGTAAAACCCCTCCGAAGCTGATTTTTTTGAGTGCTGTTAGTCCGGACGAACTGACTTTAGTACGGGACGAACTGAAGAAAATTGTGAAGAATCTGCCTGATTCGTCTGTACGAATCTGTAAGGGTCGGGACGATCCGTCGGGACGAAATTCGTCCAGAGAGCAAGTCGTCCAGGGACGAAAACTGTACACGTACGTACGAAATTCGTCCGGAGGGCAAATCGTCCCGGGACGAATTCGGATCGTCCGGGACGATCTAAATGGATATATATCAGATTGAGATATTTTGAATCATTTGAAGAGAGAGAAAGAGAAGCCAGGAGAGAGAAAGAGAAGGAAAAGCTTGTTTTCGGAGACCGCGGAGCGCTTTTCGTCCGTCGTCATTGTTAGAAGATTTGTTCGTCTCGCAGTAAGGAATCCGAATCCTATTTCTGATTTTGAAGATTTCGAGTTTTGGTATTTTTCTGTTCAGTTTTGTGTTTCCGTTACCGAAAAACGCGCATGACTTTGTGTGGACGAAACTTTTACCACGTAACTTTTGGTATGTTTTTGAGATAATGATTCTGCATATTTTGGGTATTTTCTGGAAAGTTTTCACCGGATATTTTGAGTTCTGTGCGGTTTGAATCGAATAGAAAATAATATGGCTGTTGGATATTATTTCTTTAGTACAAGAAAAGTTTTGAAACATTATTTTACACAATTTCTATTAATTTGATAATTTTTTAGAACTGTGCATTTTACGACTTCTGTCTACTATACTATATTTAAGGGATTTTCTAGGTTGAGCTAAATCATGTTTTACTATTGCAATGTATTGATGAGATGCTGATGAATGTGATTATATGATTGAAAGCACTGTTATATTACTGTGATACTACTGTGTGTGTGAAAGACAAGTAAAAAACTGGTTGAACCGTTGGTTGGAAACATGATACATGTACAAGATGGTGGGCCGACGGGCTTTCCTTTAATAATGGTTTGGTGTTATCCTCTACTGATCACGTGATTACTGAAGTGAGTCATAAGGAGATGAATACTGTGCCAACGGGCAGAGAGTGACGACTCCTTTCACTGAGCCAATAGATACAAGATACAAGATATTGATACAAGACTGAAAAACACCTTAATAGCCAGTACTTCTACTTGCTCTGTATTATTATTGTACTGAATTGCATGTTTAGCAGTATTGTTACTGCTATTGACAGATTTATTGATACTGTACGGATTTATTGTTATTGTACGGATTTATCATTACTGTACGAATTTACTGTTAATGCATGATTTCACTGTTATAGCCTTATTGTTCATGTCACTGGACTGTTACTGATACTGGCACTGATACTACTGATTCACTGTACTGACATTATGCACGTGATATACTAAGTAAGTGACATGTGATTTACTGCACATGTGATATAGATTATTGGATTGCATGTGATGCACTGAGCACATGATATTGGATAACTGAATTGCAAATGACGATTCTACGGCATTGATTGATTTCAACTGTTTTAAATGTTATTATGATTTATTGACTGATTTGATCGATATTAATGATATGAGGATTTATGAGGATTTCTTTAATGATATAATTTGATAATTTCTATAGAGATTTGACGCAACTACTGATTTATTGAGCTTTACGGACCTTTAAACTGTTTACTGATTCTTCTACTGTCGATTGAGGATTTTACCGTTTCTTATTGATACTGTTTACGCATTGACTATTGTTATTGTAATGATTAATGTTCATACATTGATTTTTGTTATCTGCATCGATACTATTTCTGTACTGATTTCCGTATATGCATTGATTCAATGATCATGTGTAACTGACTGCTATGATTTGACCGATTGACATGCATATTGCTTCCGCACCGTGCTTTGATTTCAGTTGTAGGAATTTGGTGACCTGCTGGGCTATTTGAGCTCATTATATGTGATTAATATTTTCAGCTCAGGGCAAGGGAACAGAAGATTGAGGTTGATCAGAAATCTTCAGGTTTTATTTTCTTTTGTTATAGTGATTCTTTTTGTACTCATGACAAGATAGATTGCTTGTGATTGATGTGTAGATCCTGAGTATTGTAAATGACTTTCGGGAATGAATAAAAATGTTTACATGATGTTTTGAATTGTAGATTTTTGTTAGACTGTTTGTCACTGATTGATATCTATAGATAGCTATGGTAGAAGATTTATTTAAAGGATTGACTGAATAATTCTTCCAAGTTAGATCTTGGGGCGTGACATTATATGACACATAGCAAAAAATAATAAAAAATATGGCACCCCCCCCTCCCTCCGCTCATGCCTGAATCATTAACTACTCAATCGGTTCTTTCTCTTTCCCCAGATTTAAAATAGAGTGTAGAATATGTGTGAGTCAACGCAACTCAGTAGGTCACATCCACCAAACTAAATTCTCAATTATTTGTTTATTATGTATTTAACTAAATTTAAAGACATTGCATAATAAATTTATCACACTTAGCATAATATCAATTGTAGATAACTGAAATAAAGTAGACTGTGCATTGAAAATAAATAAATAAATAGATCATATATCAGAGCAAAAAATAATATATTTTTCTCAAACTCTTATATCTCCCATCAAAAATAAAAATCAAAATTCAAACTCTTATGACTATGTACTAGCATATGAAAAAATTGGCCATTATGACTACTAATAGTTAGCACATATCAGATATTCAAATATTCAGACCCTTATGACTCACTCTGCATTCAATACTAGAACTTTCACCACATATTAGGTCTCCTCAAAATTACACATTTTAAGTAAATAATATATATATTAAATTGCAATAAAAGAAATACATGTAAACCATTTTTCAGAAATACATATAATGCTTTATCGGTAAGAACATATTCAACTATTGAGCAAAATTTCACTTTTTTAAAATTTCACCAAATTATTTTGAATACTATTTTAAAGCTTTAATTGTACTATAACATTATTTTTTTGTGCCAGAATTATTTTCTAATTTAATAAAATAAAGCACTTTTCAAACGTACACAACTATTTTTTTTAGAAAAATATGCAAATGTCTAAAATGATTGTTTCTTTAACATCCATAAAGTTACGCAGTGAAAATTTAGTGCGTGCAAAGTTATTCCCATTTTTACACTATAAAATTAAAATTTTAATAAGGAAAAATCCTTAAATTGTGTATTTTAAAAAATTGTGATAGGCAAAACATAACATACGTCGATCCAGGCAACTTTTTAGAATTGGGCCGATAATAGAAAATGAATTGAAGTAGACCAAAACCCACCTTTCTCTCTCTAGAATGCTTCCTCTCTCTTTAGTGGGCTGCTTAAGAAATGCGGAAATTGATTTTTTTATAAAAATTAAATGAGTGGAAAATAATGTTTTATAAGATTCAAGTGGGGCACCACAATGCTCTTCCATGTAGTGCCACAACGCTCTACCTTTATCAAATTAATTTTGTTTAGATTGTTTGCACTTGTTTAAAAGTTTGTTCTAAGATTAGAATAAGAAAATTAGTTTTTTTTTTTTTGAAAAATTTATTATTCATATTATAGATTGTTTTCCACCCAAAAATAAAATAATTTTCTTATAACTATCACTCTTAAAATATTCGATTATAAAAAACTTTGCATCACAAAAAACCCATTCTTAGATTAATCCAACATGATCTCATTGTCACCCCCTTCCCAATATGTCAATGTAAAATATAATTTTTAAAGTTTATGACGATAGCTCTCAAGAGGTCAGCAAACTCATTATGCCTTTCCAAGATAAGGTTTTTTTCTTATGCCGTCGGTCATATAAGCCAGCAAAACAATCTTTCACATTTCACAATCCAATCCAGTCCAATCTTTGCAGCGGGTTTCTTTTAACTTGTCGGTAATTATGAAGATAAATATACTATTATTCTTCTCTCCTCAGTCTTCGTTACCTCGAACAAGTCGATAAATTCTGCCCTAATTCACGACCGCCCAAAAACAAAAAACTATAATAAAAAAAAACTGAGATGTTATATTATTTTTATTTTTAATCAACAACTTGAAACTTGTATTATTAAAGGTGTATTATTATCTGAAATGACACACACTCATATATGCGCTAAGCATTGCGAGATCAAATCTTTTTTAATTCACTTATTGCTTATTTACATTTAATAAAATGGCCCATGTCATCAATTTTCTTTCCTGTATTTTTCTTGTAAAAATTATTTCCTCTGCCTCTTTTGTGGGTTTATCTTTGATGGGTGTGCAATGCTACGGTTAAAAATTGTATTCATATCACTAAATAAACACTAAACAAAATACATTTGGACCAATAATAAGATGTTAAGTGGTCGCATCACTTGAGGATTTCATTTAATATACAAAGTCGTGCACATTTTTTACAGGTTGATTAGGACACTTCTTGGACGGCAACTAATTTATTTATTTTTTTATGGAGAAAAAATGGCAATAAATTGATGGCTTAGTGATATCACAGCAAGCTCACCGGCCATGAAAAAAAAAAAAAAAACTAACTAGTTTCTTAATTTAAAAAAGTTGCATTATTCCCTGATAGCATAAATTATCGGAATAATTTTAACCAAATAGCGGGTTTAAGATATCCTATTTGTGATTGGTTAATTCTCAATCTCAGCCATCTTAGAAATTAGTGTTCAGCACGTCCCAAGTACCCCTACACAAAAAAAACATCATAAAACCCTATCACATAACTCTTTCAATAATCCTCAATATATTTTTAATTACAATTAATGCACATAAATCATCAATATAAAATATAATTACATAGGTCATATACCAGAAAGAGTTGACTATATATATATATATAAAACCAAATGTCAATTGCATAGAAGATATTTGCTCATATAAAAAATCCAATACAAATTCTACAGATCCAAACAAATAATACATATTAAACTCCAAAAATTATCCAAATCAACATACAAATGCTCGTGAGAGCTATTTCTTTTCATTCTGTTTAAGTTTATATAAGCACATAAATAATCATATAGGGTGTAGAAACTTTAAATATATTACCATATTAGAATAATTGACAAATTTGCCCATCTTTCTCGAGCATCCAGAGGGAGCATGAACCATACATATTTCTGAGTACAATTAAGACTCCAAAACAGCAGCCTACCTTGCTCAGACTACTGCACAAAAAACACAAAGATTCAGAAAAAGAAACATGCATCTATTTACTAGAGGCATTTACATCACTAGCAATCAAAATACTGCTACATGAATGAAAAATGATGCATTACAAACCTGAGAAAATCGAAAATGGTACATAGCATAAATCATATAATTTAAAAGCTAAAAATAATAAGAATATATATTAGATGAAGGAAAAGAAAAGAGATTTACCGAATGTATAAACCCATTCTAAGAACAGATCATATACATCAACAATATTAAAATTGAACCATAAACGCCACTTCACATAAGGTTTCTGATGCGGATATCGGTACGAAGATTTGGCGCATCTATCACAGGCGGCGTCGTAAATCGACGGGCATTATTTAAATTTTCATTTATGTATTATTTTTTGAATTTTAGCT